GGGGAGCTCTCTAAGGTGCCTGGCTTGCTGTAGGCACTCAACAGAAATCTAATTCACGGATCAAGACGTTGAAGGGAAAAGGGATTTTTTAGACATAAGAGAACACAGCTGTGTTTGGGGTCTGTCGACTGTCTCGAGTTATTTTGAAAGCGTTTTGTTTTGGCAACACACTTGGCCAGTTGTCCTCCCTCCGTCTTTACACTCGAATGTATTCAAGGGAGAATTTAATCCATATGTTCCTGATTTAATTACACTCGACTCATCCCAGCATTGCTTTGTGAGAGTGAGTCGAAAGCCAAGAATCCTGCAAGTTTCCTAACAAACTCTGAGGTTTTGTTTTGTTTTGTTTTTCTCAAGAACTAAGAAGTTTTGTTTTGTGCATCCAAAATTCTGAGAACTTTTCTAAGGAAACATGTGAACTTTCACTTACCACTGTGTTAGTGTTTAGTTACAGCTTGGGATGATGAGTGTTGAAAATGATGACATGAATAAAATCACGTGAAATGTTGGTTGTTTGCTATTCCTATTACGTAACCGTCCAAAATGACACGTACCTGAAATTACATCATTGCAGGAATTATTACTCTTTTGAAAGCTGTCAACTTGGTCCACATCAACTGAAAATATTGAGCATCAAGTGCCGGTCACTCTGCTCTCACGGGACAACTTCTGGAATGTGTGCCTTATTCCCCAATAAATTGCCCTCCCGCACTCCACCTACCCCTCACAATTCACTAGGGGTGCTGGTGGCACCCAACGGATTTTTGGATTGGGTGGACACTTAAATGGAGCCTGCTGGAATCACCTGCTGACAATTTGAGTTTTCTTATGATTATTTTCACTTTAATAATTCTATTCCAGAAGTGGTGACATTTCACATTATGTTCAGTATAGGTAAGTGAGAGCAGGTACTCTACAGTTAAAATTGTATAGAAAAAAATTGAAAGGGGAAAATTCTCGATGTATTTCTTCAAATTATAAAATTATTATTGGCTTATCTTAAAGAAGATTAATTAGACTTGGGGAAAACATGCACACCCTGGAGAGTGGTTTTGAATTATTGCCCTGATATAATTTTACCATCCACTCAGATTGAAGATTCCAGAGAAAAGTGCTTTTTAAAAATCTTACCTGTATACCATAACACTTTCAGACTATTTTCAAGAATAACAATAAAGGGATGGCAGAGAATGAGAGAGTCAAGAGGAGGAGGAGGAGGAGGAGGAGGGAAAGGAGGAGGAAGAAGATAAGAAGAGAGAGACTTGTTAGTGTGACTTGTGTCTGTAACATATAAACTTGAGAGCTGAGAATGGGCATTTTCTGCCACAATGTTTACAGCACAAAATAAGTCAATAAGCCAACACATAGGGATAGAATGAACCAAAAAATCAAAGTGTATATTTAATACATTATTTTTCTCTAAAGTCTGTTATAATCAATGCATTTAAGAGTCTGAGAACTTCAGTGCACTATATTATACTCTGGTGAAATAACAGAGAGACATTACTCCTAAGGCAATGGGTAGAAAGGTTGGTCCATATTAATTGTTTTCCAGTATAAGAAGAATTTGCATAAGGAATTGTTGAGACTATATGTAAAGACTAGTTTAATTAAGGGAACCAGATGTATTACAAAATTTACAATCCATGCAATTGAAAGAATTATGCTAATTTCTAGAAGCTAAAATTACAAATGTACTAAAGACCAAGCTCAGCTGACACTACTAAATCCAGTTTTTGTAAAATTAGCTCATTATTCAAAAGACAAGAAGTTATATTTTTAAAACTCCTATTGCTAGAAAGATCATAAGGAACAAGTGAATTGGAACTTTGGGTAGAGAAACGTGGCAAAGTGAACTGGCCGCAATGCAGCATTTCTTGTTAATTCGTCATCATTGTTGTCATCATTGTCATCATCACCAGGATCATATCAAGTTTGTTGAGCGATTTCTTAAGCAAGTCAATGGATATTTTAGCAATAGGATATGCTGGCAGCATGGCATATAAAATTCCATATTCATATCTAAGTATAAATATGAATAAAATATGTAGTACAGATTTTCTCTCATGTCCTTATCCAGGAGAATGTGGGCAAATTCACTAATGGAAACAAGCCTCAGGCAGATGAGGGAAGTCAGAAAGCCACACTTCGAGCAAGTTCTAACGATCAGTCCTTGATAAATAACACCACAGATACTGAGAGAATTAACGAGCATGTTGCCAAACACATGAGGATAATCACTTAATAATCAGAAAGGCTCGAGAAGTGCTAAATGGAGGCAAATACCCTACTCTTTTTTAAGAGGAGAAAGATTCCAGAAAATTAAAACCAGTGAGCTTCCTTGAACCCCAGAAAAATTATATAGCAGGTTGTTAAATAGTCCCCTTTTAGCTAAAAAAAAAAGGAGCAATCACAAAGGTGTAGATAGCACAGAGTAGGAAAGAATTATGATGGAATAATGTTCCAGAAGAAGAGTGGACTAAGCCTGACAATGAAACGAGAGAGATGGATGTGAAGAGTCTCATGTGATTTCAAGCCAGTTGCACAAGAGAGAGAAATGGACGGTATCGGTTCCCAGGGAAAAGATCAGTATGAGTCTTGGTGAGAAATGGCAGGTCTTTGTCCATCTGTGCTGCTACAACAAGATTTGGTAGATGGCGGCTTACAAACAACAGAAATGTGTTGCTCAAAGGCTTGTCTTGGAGGTTGACAAGTCCAAGATCGAGTCCAAGACCCCAGCAGATTCCATGTTTTGTGAGAACCCCTTCCTAGTTACTGAAGGAACCATCTTTCCAGTGTGCCTTCTCATGGCAGGAGGGCTGTGCTAGCTCTCTGCTGTCCTTTTATAAGGGCACTAATGTCAGTAATAACGGTTCTGCACTCATGACCTAATCATTTCCCTAAGGCCGCAGCTCCTTTTTTTTTTTTTTTTTTGAGACAGAGTCTCACTCTGTTGTCCGGGCTAGAGTGCTGTGGCATCAGCCTAGCTCACAGCAGCCTCAAACTCCTGGGCTCAAGCGATCCTCCTACGACAGCCTCCTGAGTAGCTGGGACTACAGACATTTGTTGCCATGCCCGGCTAATTTTTTCTATATATTTTTAGTTGGCCAATTAATTTCTTTCTAATTTTTAGTAGAAATGGAGTCTCGCTCTTGCTCAGGCTGGTCTCTAACTCCTGAGCTCGAGCGATCCTCCCGCCTCAGCCTCCCAGAGTGCTGGGATTACAGGCGTGAGCCACCTTGCCCTGCATGCACCTCCTAATACCATCCTCTTGGGGGGTTAGGATTTAAGCACATGAATTTGAGGGGAACACAAACATTCAGATCATAGCAATGAACTTGCTCAAGGCAAATTCAAAAGCAACCTTGGTATGAATCCCAGCTCTGTCTGATTCCACGTGGGAGTAGACAACCGTCCACAGTGCCCCTCAGTGCTCTGCGTGTCTTGGGTACTGCACGTCCCACTAGAGGGACTGCATTTTAAGAACACTGACAAATTTGAGGACATCCAGAGAAGACACAAAGAGACATGAAGGAAGTCTTCAACTACCTGAAGGTCCCACGTGGGAGAAGGATTAAACTTCCCCTTTAGTTCCTAAGGCAGACAAGGACAACAACCTGGAGTCGAGTAAAGACAGGTGCTGTAAAAGCCAACATTGAATCGAGAGTTTACTGTGTGCCAAACACCATGTTAATTGTATTATTTATCATCTCATTAGATGTTCTGAAATCCTGATGAAATACGTGTAATTATAACTGCCATTTCGCAGACGGGAAAAGTCAGGAACGCAGAGGTTACGTAGCTCACCCACGGTCACACGAGCACGGAAGGGTGCAGCTGCAGTTTGAATGGAGACGGCTTGAGCGCAAAGTCCAGCTGCCTGCGTGGAGAGAATTATGAGATAATGAACTTGCCACTGAAGGGCACACTCAGATGCGGCCAGATGGCACCGTCATCCTGATGTTTCAAAGGGGACATCCATGCCCATCATCTCTGGGCATTTGCTGCCAGCCAGAGAACTGTTGCATTTGGAAGTCCAAAAGCACATGTTGCATGCTGTCTTGGCCACACTTAATAAATGCTAGCTGTTGTTATTATTATTCTTAGTGTTACCAGTGTTTAACACTGAGAGTTGGGGTGATAGGGTATTTTTCTTATTTAGATTTTTTTCTGTACTTGGTGAATTATTTTTTTAAAATTATGAAAAACATGTAAGCAGTTTCCTTCTGAGAAAAGGAAAAGGACCTATGAATATGTGTACAAAAAAATTTGAACATCAAGACTAGCCTGAGTAATACAGCATGATATAGTCTCCACAAAAAGTAAAAATATTAGCCGGGCATAGCAGCACATGCCTATAGTCCCAGACACTTGAGAGACTGAGGCAGGAGGATCATGTGAGGCCCGCAGTGAGCTGTGATGACACCACTGCACTCTAGCCTGGGTGAAAGACCAAGACTCTGTCTCAAAAAAAAAAAAAAAAGGTGAACAAGTGATTTCAGTATGGTTCACAGGGTGAATTAAATATACTTTGTATTTTTTCACAAATTTAAAAAAATGTTTCTCAGACTGATTTTTCTTGGAAAATTTTAATGATCTTATATAACTTTCTTTTTATACTGAGTTAAAAAAAAAGTTATTATGTTGACCAAGCAGGACCAGGGGGTGTGATGTGAAAACGATTTAATTCTCCCCATTTCCCTCCCCCACCGCCTGCTCACACCCATTCTGTCATTCTGTGGGGTTTCTGGGTCCTTCAGAGCCCGCCCCGCCTAACTGGGCATCTCTCACCAGCCGTTTTCTAGATGCGAGCAAGACCATCCCCTGGGGCTCTGATCCCGGGAGGACAGTTCCAGCCTCTGGCTGAGATCTGGGCCCTGCAGGGCTTGTCCTCCGGGTTTGGGAGAACCCCGGCACGCGCCCGCCTCAGCCCGAGGGACGCGCTGCCCTCACACCCGCCACTAGAGGGCACGCATCACCTGCCAACCGCCGCTTCCCGCCGGCGCTCCGCCGCGCTCGCCTGCAGATTGTCGGTGCAGCGCGCACCAGACGGCTGCGCGGGACAGTGCCCACGCTCCCCGTCCGGTGGGCGGCTCAAGGCACACCAGTGACACCTTCCAGAGAGATGCTGTTTAACCTCCAACCTGCAAATATTTTATACCCCCAGGTGGGATCCGGGGTAAGGGCAGCAAAACCGGCTTAAACATCTGCAGCGCAGGTTGGACGGCGAAGTGGAGGTGGGTGGTTAGCGTCGCCGTCTTGGGGCCCTGCAGAAGCAAAGACCGGGAAGACCTGGTCTTCATATGCTATTATATAGCATATGAAGACTCATGTACAAAGAATCACGTCAGTGTTTTGTCTATGGTTACTAGAAAGAAGAAAGGGAAGGAGACGTGGAGAACAGAAAGAACTTTAAATTTCCCTGAGCAGCTATTATGAAGACACTATCCATCAATTTCTAATTTAACCTTTTATTTTTAAAAAGGAATATTTTCTCAGATGTCTTTTTCCCTGTCAATGGAGATTATTGTACAACTTTTGTTCTTAATGTATTAATAGGTGAATTATATTAAAAAACAATGGCCTCTATGTCAGGTTCTTTGAAATATACATATTTGGGGTGATGCATCTTAGAGTTTACAAGTGGGAAAACTGAAGCTCATAAAAGTGAAGGAACTTGCAGATTACACAGCTCTGAAGTAGACGCCATTGACTCTACACACCGTGCTTTTTCCTCTGTAACTGCACTTCCATGCACGACAATATCACAGCCAATTACTAATCTACATGGTAAACCAATGGGTTACATTTAAAAAATAAATAAAATGCTAGACCAATGGGTTACACTTAAAAAATAAATAAAATACTAGACCAGAATATTATTTTAAAATATTTTTTAATTCACTCATTTTAAGGAGGACATGCTAGATGAACATTCACCACTTCTTTTATCCTGTTGGTAGAGGCTCATTACAAATGCAGATTTGTGAACTGGCCCCTGTGTTAGTTTCCCGTTGCTCCTGTAACAACTGAGACTTAGCGGCTTAACACAAATTTATTACGTTGCAGTTCTGGAGGTCAGATGTCTAAAATGGGTCAAGGAGGGCTGCTTTCCTGACAGTCTAACGGAGAATCAGTTTCCTCACCTTTTCCAGCTTCTAGGGGCTGCCAGGGGCTACCATCCCTCTGCCTCTGCTTCCGTCCTCACGCTCACGTTCTCCCCGACTCTGACCTCTCTGCCTCCCTCTTCCCCTCTAAGGACCCTTGTGATTACGCTGGGCCCACCCAGACCATGCGGGGAAATCTTTCCATCTCAAGATTCTTAATCATATTTGCAAAGTCCCTTTTGCCATATAAGAAAATATATTCACAGGTTTTGAGGATTAGGACATGGACTTCTTGGGGGGCCATTATTCTACCTGCTGTAATTCCTTAAGGATCTCCTTTCAGAAGTTTGACGTGGGACCCAGGAATCTTCATATCTGACAAAGCCCTCGATGGTTGTTGCCCTAAAGTTTGAGAAGCACTACTATAAATAACTATATGCTTCCTTTGGAAAGAACAGCCTAGGTGGTTTAATAAGTTCTTCAACAACCTATTCTAAATCTAAATTTGTTCTATCAAAATTCATGATTAAAAGAATTGGAAATATGCTTTTTGCCCAAATCCAATGTTCTAATGTCACATCATTTGACAGTACTTTAAAATATCTTCTTATTTTGTTAACATCTTAAGCAGTCTACTTTTTCCTCTTATTGGAGGCTTCCAGTATTTATTTTATTTTCTCCTTCCTAACATTATCATAATAAGGGGTATCAAAACAAGCCAGTTGTAAGCATTGAGTGCAGGATTCCTTACTAAGATTTCACAACAGATTTTAACTATTTACAATATTGTAGTTAAGAGCATCAACATTATAGCCAAATTGCCTTGCTTCAGATGCCAAATCTGGCACTTATTAATTGTATAAATTGAGTAAATTATATGAGCTCTCTGCATTTAGGTTCTTTCACCTATTAAATGCGGATGATAATAGTCCCTCTCTCTTAAGGTTGCTGTGAGGATTAGAGAAGTTAATAAATGGAAAGTGCTTAAACTAGCACCTACAACATGGTACACACTTAATAAACGCTAGCTATTGTTATACTATTTGTACTGATGTTAGCTGTTGTTTGTTATACTATTCTCAAACAACAACATGGTTCACCATATTTTCATCTCTTTGTATTTGAATGTTGTGCTATAGGGTTAGCATCTACCCCCACATTTTTGTCTTTGTTGATAGCTAGGGCTCAGGAGAGATGATTAACAGCACGCGTGGCCTGTGGTTGTTGGGGGCTTTGTTTGTGTAGCCTGGCACAGCGCTCAGTGGGAATGGATCAGGCGTCCGAAAGGCTCGGGAGATGCGGGTGTGGTTCTGTCGGGAAGGACTGTGCAGCTGAAAGGAGAGAGGGGTGGCCTGAGACGCTGGTCCCCCTCAGGTGAGGGTCAGACGTCCTTATATCCTGACGGTGAGAAGGCCCGCAGGACCTCAAGGACAGGGTTGTCCCTGTCAGGGTCCCAGCAGGAAAGAGAGGGCACGTTCAAACTGGGATGATTTAGGGAACATTTTATAAAGCAGGGGTCCTCAAACTTTTTAAACAGGGGGCCAGTTCACTGTCCCTCAGACCGTTGGAGGGCCAGACTATAGTTTTAAGAAACCCATGAACAAATTCCTATGCACACTGCACATATCTTATTTTGAAGTAAAAAAACAAACGGGAAAAACACCTGCATGTGGCCCGCGGGCCGTGGTTTGAGGACGCCCCTTAAAGAAACAAAGATGGAGAGGAGTAGGGAGTCTTGGGACGTGTAGCGGCAGGGCTGCCGTCGCTGTCCTTCAGCCTGAAGGGGGAGGTGCAGAGGCAGAGATGGCCCTGTGGTGGGGGTCCACCTCGAGGGGCCATGGGGCAGGGTGGGCTGCAGCACCCCAGGACTAACTTCAGAGAGGAAGAGGAAGGAATAAAACCTCTGACCTCAGTCTCCCCCCGATCTATTGGGGTCCTCCTTGGCCAGGCCCGGCAGAAGCCAGAGGACATCTGTGTAGTGCCCACACTCAGCCTCCTGGGCTCGGGGCTGAGAAGGGTGGCCAGTGCGCCTGTGGATGCAGACGGAAGCTCTCGGGGACAAGAGGGATTTCCGCTCACTGAGAAAGGTGTCCCCGCCCAAGACCTGGTGGAGGAGTGTTAATCCAGGAATACCAGCCCGGGGCAAAAGGCAGCCCAGAAGGCCAGGTTGGCATTCGGGGCTGGGACAGGACTTGTGTGAGCTGCTGTGCCACGGGAGGGCCAGTGGGGCCTGCCTGTCCCAGAGGCAGGGCAGGGCGTGGAGCCTGAGTCCTTTGTCAGGGAGCTACAGACAGTATTTCATCATGGTTGTGAAAAGAACTGTGCTGACTAGCTACTCAATAGAATGCTTAGAAGTAAAGGAGCTTTGAAATGCTCCGTGGAGAGTGTTTTATAGGTTTCCAAGCAGAACAGGGGCTGAAGGCAGAGTCCTTGGCGCTTTGGGGACACCTGGGACCAGGGCCACACGTGTTTATTACATTATATCCAGATGTTGAGAATGCCCCGGGGAAAGAAACAGTATCCTAAGGAGCTTAAAGGTTCTAGAAATGCAGACAGAAAGCAAACAAACAAAAAAAGCAAGAAAGAACCCAAAAAAGGTTTTAACTTGTAAAAAGAATGGAGCGTTTTGGGACTTTAAGAGGAACACACAATCGTTAACAGCACCAACCTGGAGAACAGTGACGTCAGGAGGTGAGGGAATACTCAGCGACTAGACACTCTTCTCTTTTGCCTCCTGCCTCCTCAGTCTACTGTCCACCCAGCGGTGAGAGCAGTCTTTCAAAAATGCATCAACGTGAATGTGTCACTCATCTATTTAGAACCTCTCAGCAGCTCACCACTGAGCTTTGAACGAAACCCAAACCCCTTCTTCTGCCTAGAGTGCCTGGACGATCTCTCGCATACCTGCTGCTCCCAACTGCATCTCATGCATGCTCACCGTGCTCACCGTGCTCTCTCAACATTCACCGCCCCGTTTCCTGACACTGCGCGCTCCAGACAGCTCAGGGCTGTTGCACTTGTGCTTCCTTCTGCCTGGCCCGCTGGACCTTTCTTTCACCAGCCCCCGTGACGTGGAGCCTTTCCTGACCACTGACTTCACCTAAAGCACATCACCCTCTATCTCTGCACTCTGTTTCCTTCATGGGACTCATCTCAATTCATAGTTTTTATTTACTTATTTGCTCTTTTATTGTTTGCCTTTCCCACAAGAGTATAAACTTCAGATCAGGGTTGAGTTCTGCTTGTTTACTGTTGAATCTGTATTCCCCATGCTTGGCCTGGGTGGGTAGATGGATGGATAGGTTGGTGGATGGATAAATGGATGGATGCATGGATGGGTGGATTGAGGGATAGATAGATAGGTGGATGAATGGAGGAATTGATGGATGGATTGGGGATGGATGGATGGATGGATGAACAGATGGATAGGTGGGTGGACGGATGGATGGAAGGGTGGATGGATTGGAGGAGGGATGGATAGGTGGATGAATGGACGGATGGATAGGAGTATGGATGGTTTAATATGTAGATAGGCAAATAGCTAGGTGGACAGATGGATAAATCTTCCAAAACCTAGTCTTTGCTTTCTCTCTTCACACTGGAAAACTATGTTATTTAACATATTATTTGTTTAGATTTTGCTCTGCTAGATACTGCTGAAAGTTTCTTGGCACTTCACAACTGGAGAGAACCAAAACAATTGTAGAAAAACAGGAAGTTATTAGACGAGGAAGAGAGGTCACATTTATTTATTTCTGAATAAGTACTTCAGAAATCACAGATCTTGTTTTAGAATTTAAGATTTGCTTCTCAAAAACTAAGAAGATAGATTTTCTTGTACAAGTGATTATAAATGGCTTTCCGTGTGTGTGCACTTGTGCTTCTGTATGTACCTATTTATGTTTGTGTGCACGTGTGCCTTTCATGTACACAAATAACAGAAGGATCTGAGGCTCACAGAAATTTTACTTAGTGCTTTTGTATAAACAGAACTTTCCTTCTTTGCAAAAAGCTAAAAAAATTCCAGGCAAATCTGGAAAATCTGTTTTTGTCTAAAACCTCTTAGGGCACTTTCTTAAGGATTTATGATGTCTGAGAAATTTTATACTTTAAGACACTGAAAGCCAAGATGGACAAAAATGAGAAGTAGTTGGAAAGAATTCTGCCTCTATGTACCACTCCACTTCTAAATTTGTTATTTAATATGGGCCTAGGAAAATATGCAACGGGGAGAAACCTCCTTTTACCTGACTATAGGATTTACCGCAGGGTGGCCCCGTAGAGAGAGGAGAAAGGTCTACAACAAACCCACAGACAGGAGCAGGGAAAGGACCTCGACGGAGGCAGGACCGCAGAGCCCTGCTGTTAAACAGAGCACGGTTGCCGGGCGGGCGAGGGCCTTGAGTTGGGGTTTGTAAGCACCCGGGTTCACGTGCAGGCACAGCCACTCATTAACCGTGGATCGTTGCGCCTCACTCTCTC